CATGCTTCACTCTCCACTCTGTCTCCCATGCAGGCAGGCACAGCATCCTCAGGTCTGTCCCATCCATGGGACAACATAGGGAATGCTGCATGGGTATGGCTTGGAGTTGGTTACCCACTCCTACTTGCAGAAGTCACCCTGATCAGCACAGGGTGCCCTGGCAGGGGGTCAGGGCTGGTGCCAGCCCTACAGCTCCCTGGCAGAGCTCTCCCAGAAAATCCACCTCCACTCATCCCCCTCCACCACACTGCCCATGTTCCTACCTGCCCTGTGCTCTGGCCCCAACTCCCATCCTGCCTTGTCCCTGCCCTCAATCGCTCATTCATTCTGTGTATAAGGAAGGAGACAGCACATTGCCAAATCAGCTATCTCAAGGGAATCTAGCTACTTTTATTGAACCCCTGTCACAGGGCCTGAACTGTTGGGGGCAGTCCCTGTGACGAGCACGCAGTCCTAAGGCATGGTGACTGTCCGTCCAGCACTCCTGGCTGCTGTAAAGCGCCTCTTATTCCTCAGACCAGAGAACCTCTCATCCAGCGTCAGGCTGGTCTGCAGGGGAAAGGGAGAGCGAGTCAGTTCCATGTCTTGTGGCAAAGCACAGCCAAACCTGTAGCAGGGTATTGATTAGAGCCCATCAGTCAGGATGGTGTTTCACAGCTGGTTAGTCAATTAAACCACTCAGCACACAGAGACAAGGAGCTCAACAGACTGTGTGTGGCTGGAAAACCTCCAAGCATCTCCCAGTCCCAAGACACTGGGAATCCTTGGCAAGAACAGCAGCAAGCAGATGGCATTTGAGCACACCAAACCATCCAGACAAGAAACGCTGGCAATGAAGAAGGTGGAGCAGGATTTCTCAGCTGCCCCAGGGCTCTTCGAACATAATTCAGTGTAAAATGTGGCACCGAGAAGGTCACCAAAGCAAAGCGCGAGCAAAGCCCAGAAGTGCCGTGTGTCTCTTAGGAGTGAGGAGCACCAACAGTGAAACAGTCCCCTGTGGCCAGGACCACTCATGAGCAGGATCTGCCTGCTCTGAGCAAGCACATGGACAGGCCAAGACAGACCAATAGAGTGGGGAAAATTGGGCTGAGTCTGTAGTTGCTGAACAGTCTTCTCAGGTGCCTTCAGTTGAGTGAGCAACCTGGCTAGCACAGCTCCAGGACCCTCCTTGTGGGTTATGTTACATACACCTAGCTGGCAGCCCCAGAGACCCAAACGTGATGTTAACAGCTTAGCAGTGAGGCTGCTGCAGGGTGCCAGGTGACTCCTGTCCTGTTGACAATCCTCTACCTGGTTGGCCATTGCGCGAAAGTTGAATCTCAGCAGCACTCCCTTGGGCTGGGGCTTGGCCACCCGTGCTGGGGGTCTCTGGCTTCGCAGGAACGGGCGCTTGGATCCAGGCCTGGGGAAAGCACACATCTACAGTCACTCGGGATGCTAAGGTAGCTCACTCCCTATCCTCTGCAAATCAGCACACAGTGAAAGAGACACCTGCATGCCCCGTACGTCCCATGGCATGTCTGAGCCCTGGCAG